TGTTGGGACTTGTCCCTTGAACACGAAAAAGGGCTGTCTTGCTTTCATCATAAGTTTCATCTGCAATACCATTTTCTGCTATAAAATTCTTGTATCGTGCACTCCTACCTCCCTAAGAAGAAAAACCATTATCAGGAAGCTGCTGGATGATTAACATCAGATTAACTTGAAAAGGAAACAATGTTTAACTTTAAATGGATACTATATTAGACTAGAGAGAGCAGAGGTATGAACCTTGTAAATAATTAATGTCTGGAAAATGGAAAAGAATTGAGAAGGCTCCTTGTTCTCCATAACTTGAGCCTGAACTTGAAAAATGTGAGGTAAATCAGAGATAAATGTGTTCTAAATAAACTAATATACAATGCAAAGGTGATTATGTGCAACAATATAACTACTAACTTAATCACCGTATTATTTCAAAAGATCACGCATAGGAGAAAGAAACATAAAGCTTACCAAAACAGGGTCTCCCTTGGTTGAATCGACTAGGGCATTCATACGAGAGATAGCATCCCTTCTATCTTCCTGCAAGCAGAACAGAGATAAAAATAATAATAATAAATTTTCAACCAACAACTACTGTATTCAAATCTCTTTAGTTACCACTTACCGTTACACTTTGACAGCCAAGCCATGCATAAAAGAGATTGTCACTCTTTTCCTTTCCAGGATAAGTATACTGCACAACATAGCAATCCCCGCTGAATATTTTTCGCTGGTCTGAAGCTGGAATGAGGAACAGTTTATCACCATCCACCCGCCAAACCTGAAATGTTATAGATTGCAATTAAGGGGCAACAGAATCAAATACAGACTTTGAAAGGGTGAAATTTCCGGTAAGAAGGTACCTTCAATGTGCCACTGCAATCTATAAATGGCTGGATGTCTTCTTCATCTGGAAGCTCTTTCACCTCATAACCCTTTTGCTTGAACATTGCTGCCATAAAGTAAATATTATAAGAGCTATATTAAGGTAAATCCTGCTTTAGTTACAGCACTAGTAATTGTAAAGTTGGTACTTGGTTACGGGATTAAACCTGCGACTTTCTCTCGGCCTTCTTCATACAGCTTGATTTTGACCGTTTGAGGCCAATTATCAAAGTATGACCTAAACTTAACAGTTTCTAATCCTTCAGTTATAAACACTGAATGAGTCCCCGCTGACCTGCCTTGGTTTCTGAGGAAATCCTGATAAAGAGTAGGCAATCATTATGGAAAACAATGCCTATGGCTCAAACATGAGCTTCAATTATAGCATTTTACTTCCTTTAAGTAACTAAATTTCTTGTGTACTTGAAAACTCATCTGTCTTCCTTCGAGGGGTTTGTGCTCTTTCAAAAAGTAATAAAAAGGGGGATGAAAATAATACAGGAGGAAAAATTCTTACTTCTGTAGCGGAAATTGATGTTTTTCTTTCTGTAACTGAGGTATGCTTTCCCATCCAAACAAAAATCTCAGAATCACAGTCCAGCATATAACACTTGTCCGTCTCCAGCATTTCTTTATTTAGTGAGTCAGTTCGACATGGACATAGCTTACCCTGAGTTGATATCCTTAGAATAATGTCAACAAAACTTGATGAGCAAGATATATAAGATTTGAAGGATTATAATCACGAGAAGTGATCAAGAATTATCAATACTGACCATGATAGTTTCACAAAGGGTGTCTCCGGTTGTTCCTGGAGAGAAGACGGTGGATCCTGGGGAATGGGAGCATAACCACCAAATAAGCTCCAGAATTCACCCACTTCGGGATCACCAACAAATTTTCCATCCTCTGCAGCACTTTAACAATCAACAATTGTTGGTTTTCATAAAGGAAAAGGAGAGAGGTCAGAAGATTGCCAACCTACAGTTGCCACCTCGCATTTTTCCCGATGCTTATTCTCTTTGATGTATTGAACAACCTCCAAACCCTTGGCTCTTTCCTGTATGCTAGAGTTGCACCCACTAAAGAGGAAAATTTTCGATGCAGTATCAAGTATGAATACGTCATTGTGGTTCAGTGATGACCGAGAGAATGGAACCTAGTTGACGATATAAATTCTGATGAGAGGTCTAGAAGAAACAACAGCAGTAAATGCAAAGGAGAAAAAGGAATCTTACTTCTTTAACATGAACAACATGGTCCCCTTTGCAAGCTAACAAGCTGACTTTATATGTTTCACCATTTAAGCGCTCTTGTTGTGTTCTATATGCTCCTTCAATGGGGATAATACAGGGTTTGAAGTACGATAAAAACTTTTGTGTTTCATGGCCTTGAAGCTCCCTATATTGCACAGTGCAGGACCCTAGGGCTGCATCTAGTTCTAGTGCTTTATCTGATGCCAACGCCGAGTCCTCCTGCCAATATGATATTAGCTATAAGAACCCTCAAATGATGTGAGTAATTCATTTTTCAGATTTTTTGTCCGAATCAAAACTTGATATTTTCCTGCCATCGATTTGCTAGGTAAGAATGTCACCGCACGAGAGCAAAAATACAAACAAGGATTCTCGAAGAGAATTCTTTTCTATCCCCGACCCTCCCCATTCCCTTTGGAGTTTTGTGGCTAAAGGTAGAATTAACTGACTCTACAGAAAAGGTTTCTACTACCAACACCACGCACAAACAGTAATTAATGTTGCAGCATCTTACGTATGTTCAGCTCTACACAATACTAACAAGACAACATTTCTTTTGGGTCAAAAACCAACGTGACAAGTCGACAACATAAAACTAGTAAACTGGTGTATTTGTATTTCTAGAATGCATGCCGAACAAGTGAACAAATTCAAACCTTGTTTGAGTCATTTCCCAGCCAATAGTGTATGTCATGCCGAGGAAGGCCATTTTTCGGCAGAAATGTCTGTCATGACAAACAAGTGAAACAGTCAAACTAGTTAAATACACGGATAAGCTCTAGATATCACAGATCCACCAACATTCTAAGATGATTAAATTGTACTGGGATGAACTTTAATTTGAAGATACAATATTCTGAGTAAAAGAAAACTAAATGGCAGTAAAATGAGCACAATCTTCGAACTACTTACATTTAAAACTACATATGCACTTCCGGAATAGAATTTCCGATGCGAAGATTTTGGAACAGAAACCAATTTTAGGTTCTCAACACACCAAATTTCCAAACCACTAATCATACGAAGGTTAAGGATGAATCATTGAATTTCAACACAAGATGTATGAAATATCAAGGATCAAAGTTAGTTAACAAAATACCATTGAACACAAACTGTATCTGTCCATTATTTGTTGCTAGCTATAAGAAAGGCCGCACGGTCAGTGAATTGTTTAATCTACGAATACATCAACTCCTACCAACTAGATCCGAAAGAAACAACATAGTTTTCTACAGATGCAGTACATATCTTCTGAACATAAGCATTCGAAACAGTAGTAAACCAAAATTTTCCGAAATTCCGAGCATTTGAGCAGTTTTCGGTAACTGGCATATCATATAAGAATCAAATGGAACCATTTATAAAGGATACAGATTTGTTCCTGCAGCCTGGAATGCTGGATCCGTGTCTTTACCGTAAACAGACATTGCCTTTCATGTCACAGAGAACTCCACCAAAACAACCACCAAGTAAAAATTTCTGCATCCCAGATAAAAAATCAGATCAACCCAGATAAAAAAAAACAGCCCTGAAACTTGACATTGCATTCACACAGGGTAACTACAAAAACCAGATAAAAATCAGTCTTTACAGCTCTACAAGTTAACACATTTGATATCAAATCACAAGGAAACATAATCTGGTAAAAGAAAAACGAAACCCCAAGATCGAGTGAGTAAATTCTTACCTAACACCCACTTAATTGCTCTGCAGAATTCTGGGTTTTGGAGGATTCAATGAAATGGGCTCTTCCCTGTGCCGATCTGTGATCTTATTCGCAGAGAAGAACACAGAAGAAAACAGTGGGAGTATATTCCACTATGTGCTTTTGACCCAGCCTCAGCTGCAAGAATTATGGAGTTGAAAACTTGGAATCTAAATAAAGTGCGGAGTTTGGTGTGGTGGGGCCATGGGTGCCTGGGAGGCACTGCTATTTTTGAGCTACAACTGGCCCCATGATCAAAAGTTGAAGAACAAGTTCGGCGTGGTGTGTGTGTCGTTTGGTTGCATGACATGTGAGATTGATGGTGATGATCAGAAATGTTTCCCGCTCTTCTGCATCAAAGTTTGTTGGTTGTGAAACACAACTTTATTTAACACGTCTTGTTTGTTACTAGCATGTCTAAATAAGATGATGGTACCACCCATTGTAATACGACAACGATGTTTTTGGCAAACAAAACGCTCTAAAATAGTCATTCCGCATTTGTTAATACTAGACGGATGATACTTTATTGCAATGATTAAAAACAATTATGTTATTCGTTTTAGTGTGTATTCGATATTCGATGATTTCTTTACCTCTTAGCAATTAACTATTTAACCTCTTAGAGCATCTTCAAATGAAATGTTAAAATATTCAAATCAGTAATAACGGTAACAAAAGACAACATTAATGTTTTCCAACCGAGAAATCAAATCTGATGTGGTATGACATGGAATCACATTTTTCCCCTTGCTGCCAAATTTGACAACACCTTCAGATTTTTTAATTAATTTTTAAATGCTTTTTATTAAATTTTTATTGGTTTAAAACATTATCCTTTTGTTTCTTTTCATTCCCAATGCAAAGAAAATATATATGAATTTTTATTTTATGTTTAAAATTTGGTATATCGGTTAGAGAGAAAAATTTTAAAAAAATATCAAAATACCACGTAAGTCTTCAAATTTAAAATTTGACATCTCTTTTAGAAATGATCTTTTAACTCCTCCACTCTACTCAACAAGCGAGAGTGTCTGCTGACTACTTTAAAATGTCAATAGTGGGCCGAGAATCCAAGCTCAATATGAAACTGCACGCATAATGGACCGAGAATCCAAGCCCAATAAGACCCTCATTCAGATTCCCCTTTGTCCGCAATCCGAAACAGCGTAAGAACAATGTTCTGCAAAAATTAGGGTATTGTTCTTCAAAAATTAGGGATTAAGTTCACTACCCAGAGAGAGAGAAAGCAGAAAAATCTTGGTGGAATCAGAACGATGAACCCGCTAACCCTAGTGAAACGCATTCAGAACATCAATTCCAGAGAAGCCCAATTAGGGATTTCAGAGGAGGCGTCGTGGCACGCCAAGTACAAAGACTCCGCCTACGTCTACGTCGGCGGCATTCCCTTCGATCTCACCGAAGGCGATCTCCTCGCCGTTTTCGCACAGTAATCTCTAATTCTCCTTCAATTAATTTCAAATTTTCCATTTTTTTTTTTTCAATTTTTTGACGTTCGATTTGGTTTCAGATACGGAGAGATTGTGGATGTGAATCTTGTTCGCGATAAGGCGACTGGGAAATCCAAAGGGTTTGCGTTTGTGGCGTACGAGGACCAGAGGAGCACGATTCTTGCTGTGGATAATTTGAACGGAGCTCAAATTTTGGGGCGGACTATTAGGGTTGATCATGTGACCAAGTACAAGAAGAAGGAGGAGGAAGATGAAGAGGAGGCCCAGAGGAAGAGGGAGGAGCGGGGCGTTTGCCGGGCTTTCCAGAAAGGCGAATGTACACGCGGAGATTCGTGCAAGTTTTCACACAATGAGCAGGTAAGTTCAACATTATCTGATTGTTTCAGTTTTTCGCCGACTGCATGTTGATTTTTACACTGTTACTTGGCTTTTGCGGAACGTGGATCGAAATATGTTGGTGAATAAGTGGTAATGTAGTTTGATTGTTGTTTATTGCAATGAAAAGGAGGTTGATTTCTGTGTATTACTTAAGTTTATGATGCTTTAAAATGCTTAAAGTTTATTCAATTATCTGAGTTTATGTACCGAATTGTTTATGTTAGTTGTAAGGTTTATGTTTTAAATTAAAATCAATTAATATCTTTCTATATAGGTGCTTATGTGTGCTTTTTTTTCTGTTTATATCCAGAGAGCTGCAAACACAGGTTGGGGTGAAAAAGACCCGAAATGGGGGCGTGACAGTTATGAGGGCCCAAAAAGGGGTGAGAAAAGATCTAGTACCATTCCGCTAAATCGTGTTCCAGAGCCCAAAGGTCAAGAAGAGTTCAGATCAGGTGATAGAGAATTGGACTCCAGAAGAAAGGGCAACGGGAGGGACTTCGAAAGTCACCCCAAGCGAGGTGATGGGAGAGAGCGAAAGAGACTGGGAAGACAGGGGGGTGATGATGAAAAGTTTGAGCCTAGATCAAGAGATCATGATAGGGGGGAAGAAAATAGATCAAGAAGATGGAGTGAAGATGCTGAATTGGGGCCCAATTCAAGAGAAAATTATGGCAGGAGAGAAGAACAGAGGTCGAGAAGGTACAATGACGATGAATTTCAGCCAAAGTCAAGAGAAGATTATGATAGAAAGGAAGATAAAAGACCCAGAGGGAGTGGTGGTGATCAGGAATTTGAGCCAAAGCTGAAATCTGGAGAAGATCACGTTAGGAGGGGAGACGATAGAAGGGAAAATAAGAGACTAAGAAGGCATAGCGATGATGGTGAAATTGAGCCCAAATCTAAAGATGATCGTGGTAGGAGGGAAAATGATAGTAGGGAAGATAAGGGACTGAGAAGGCATGCTGGTGATGCTGATTTTGATCCAAAGTCTAGAGACAATCATGATAGGATGGATGAAAAGAGATTAAGAAGGCACATCGATTATGAAAATCAGCCGAAGTCTAGAGAAGATTATGATAGGAGGGAAGATCAGAAGTCAAGAAGACGCAATGACAATGAATTTGATCTGAGGTTGAGAGCAGGCAAGGATAAGAGGGAAGGAGGGAGACTGAGAAGGGATGGAGATGATGAGATTCAGCCAAAGTCTAGAGAAGGTCGTCATAGGAGTGAAAAGGGAGAGTGAGAAGATGGGTTTGATGATAATCTAGGCCAAGATCAAAAGTAAGATTATTGAAGGAAAGAAAAGAGAAGGGAAGAATACAAGTACCACAAAGCAAGGACCAGAATCCTATATGGAAAAACATTGATGAACTAATGGGTAACACCCATCATAAAAAAGAGAGATAATGATGTAAATCAAATATTGATGCTGTTTCCAAGTTTCCAACTTTGGCCTCCCTTGTATGCAGTTAGATCCCTGCTGTTATGCAATGTGAGACTTGTTTCTTTTTTGTTGTGTTAGGTATATCCTAATTTTGTTTCCATTGATTTGTTGTGTTTGTTTTTTCTATAGGTTTTTGTTGGCGTTTCTCTTGGATGAGATGTAGTTGATATATGCATTTGACTAGCAAGTTGCAACTCTGCATAAAATCATTTCTTGATTTGCAGTTTCTCATGGTTGTTGAAGTCCATTTGAATACGATAGTTTTATGTGTATTGCCAAGAGCATACCCCGGCACCTTAATTAATGTGCATGATTTGTTGATGCCATTTGACGATCATAGTGATGATTGGATTTGGTCGGTGCAAACTTTTCACAGAAACAGTTTGTAGTTTAATTTTGGGCTGAAATTTGCAGGTGAAACCACTGCAAGAAGAATTGGCCTGGATCGATGGAACATACGGGTCGGTATGTTTCAATACATTGAAAATGCTTGCTGGTTATTGTGCAATTAAATTATACATGGTTAAAAATCGCAAAACAGAAAGGCCTGCTCAAGGTGAGCAAATACAGAAGTCAATAAAAGAGGCAGTCAACCAAGTGCTGAAGTCCATATTTACAGTTACAAGCCAGTTTCTTCTCCAGTCCCAGGTAAGACGAAAACAAAATGGTAAGGGTTCTTGCTAACAACAAGAAGTAAAGAAAGTAGTGACTTGATTCATCAAGAATTCTGCCTCTCTGTTGGATTAGTTCCAATTGAGCCATGAGTAGTCATCGGTGTTCCTAGTTCTTTTGGTGGTGCTTCTCCAGAACTCATTGTGTTCCAAGTTCTCTCGAAAATCCATCTTCAGAAGACAGCGGTTTTCTAAGTTCATTTGGGAGTGCTTCTTCAGTAGGTAGTGCTGCTCGAGAAGACATTGACTTTCCAAGTTCTTTTGGCAGTGCTTCTTCAGAAGACATCAAATTTCCTAGTTCCATGGGTAGTTCTTTGGGCGGTGCTGCTTCAGTAGACTTTGTTATTCCAAGTTCATTAAAATTCATCGATTTTCCAAGATCTTTGGATATTGCTTCTGCAGGAGATAAATATTTTCCTAGCTCTATGGGTGGTGATTCTTTAGAAGGTATTGGTGTTCCAAGTCCTTTGGGCAGTATTGCTTCTTCAGAAGGCACTGCTTGTGTTGCAGTTAAACTGGGCGCTAGAACAGGACCTCCTTCATAAGTAGGCAAGGCCTTATTGTCTTCATCTTTCGTACTTTCTGAAATCATTCCTGTTGAGGTTGTCGGGGTTGTCTTCTTTATAGATTCCTCCTTCACGGCGCTATTACCATTGTCTACAACGCGCACTTCCTTCTTTATACCAAGCAACGCTCCATCTGCAGATTTGATAGCCTTCTCTTCAATTATGACCTCAATGTTGCTGTTAAATGGTGGGTTTCCATCCGCAGAGGCAGGTTTATCTGTAAAATCCACACCCTTCGTATTCATCACCAGTTCTTGATCTTCAGGACGAGTAACATTCGTGGGAGTAATCGGTCCCACATCGAGGTCTACAAGTAGTGCCTCGTTTTCATTTGTAATTTGCACTTCGCTTATCTTCTGAAGTTCATAATCCTTCCAGTCTTCATCGATTGATATAGTGTTCTTGGTTCTCCAGGTGTGCAGAATCCGATCTGGACCGGGTTGCCACAGCACATCTCCTGTGTCCTTTTTCAGTATAAACTTGTATTGGATTGCTATGCCAGTAGGAACATTCTATTCAAATTTAAAAACCAATCAAATTTCAGAAATCGCGTACAGATTTATACGATTCAGCCTGTAAATCAACCATGTCAGGTAATGATCATTTGGTCTAGTGACACCAAGATCTTACAGTCGACGGTTTGTGAATATGAATATAAAAATAGTAGAAGGAATCATATAGGAATTCTCACCAGCTCAATGTTCCATTTGTTTCCATCTGACCAGTTCATTGCTGTAGCATTTGAAGGATTCCACTGTCCCATGATAGGTTCACTCCCCACCAAGAGGAAGCTCTCACCAAATTTGCACTCCTTGTGTAAATTGAATTGGACACGGACGGTTTCTGATTGCTCTGAAAAGCAGACACTGATCATCACTTGATATCGGAATTAGGAACTCGTTCGATATCGGAAGAGAAATATTTCCAGATTAAGAGCTAGTTGGCACAAACTTGGAACTCGTTTAATATGATTAACAAGGTTGAATATAGTAAACTTACCGGTTGGTTGGATCCCAATTCGTGCTGTTTCTGAGGTCGTAAAAACCTGAGTTGAGTTTTATAGATGAAGTTGAATTAGAATATCAACTGTGGGAAGGAAAATTACTAAATGGTCGATTTTGCAAACAAACTTTTAATTGGAAATGGAATCCAAAAGACATTAAGATGTCAATAAAGGGCACTGAACCGTGGTTTATATGCGGTTTTATTGCTGGTTTAGTCCCTTCTAATTTTGTTTTGGATTAAAAGTTTGTAACCAGTTTCGTTTATGGGCATCTCCCAATAAAAGAGTCGGGTTGGTATGGATTAGTACCTCTGTCTGAGATGAAGCAACCAATTGAAGCGCTTTCTGTCGAAGTCGAGAGGTATGGTGAACACGTACATTGGAATTTCGAGACCCCAAAATGCAAATGTTGAATCGACCCATAAGATATTTCGAGGGAGAGAGAGGTTTGTTAGCCTTTGCAAACAAGGTTATGGAGGATCCTGCAAGGGCTTCCATTGTCTCCTTTTTTTTTTTTTCTTCCAAAGAGTCCTAAAATGTGTAAGAAATAAGCACTGGTATATATAAGACACATGAACAAGAAAGCTGAGAAGGGTACGGATCTGGCATGAGGTTTTGATGTCCTCAACTGAATGAGAAATTTGGGGCTTTTCCTTGTGCGGATTTTCAGTTTTGCTTCTATGCTTTTGTTTGAAGTCTTCAATAATTTTTTAAAAAAATTCTTGCAAGTTTGGAGTTGAAAAAGCGGTTTTTTAGGAAGCCCATTTCCAACGGATTTGTTCAAAGGAGGCATAAATTATCCGAGCAGGATGTCCGTACTTGCTCACATCAATATAGACGAAAATGTATTGATGACTTGTTTGTCCGTTTTGTTGGCGACAATGCTATCGACTCATCACCAATGATGTATCGACAAGCTGTTTCATAGCCGAACAATCTGTATCACCAATGATCATACAACACATGATAGGTTTATACAAATGATGTATCGACACGCAGTTGCTAAAAGCTTATATCGAGGGTTTGAGGTTTAGGTTCTAGCAAAGAGCTTGCATCTTCACCAATAATCGTTACATGAGCAATGCCCGTCTCTGAAATGATGAAACCGATATCGATCTCTCAGCAAGATCTCCCTATCGTAAACCCTCGATATAAGCTTAGCAACTGCGTGGCAGTCTCCGCAAACACGAAGATTCTTCACAACCTGAATTGGTTGAGATGGACTTAAGCTGATAAGCCCGAATGCAATCGCTAATTTCTCGCTGTGAAGGATTAGGGCATGGTTCTTCATGTCTTCTTCCTCAACAAACTGCAGTAGATGTGACTTGTTTGGCACGTATCCATTTGACTTCAATCTCCCTGCTATTTCATCCAACTTTGAATATATTTCTTTGCACTGAGGGTGAGAGTTATCACCAACTAGAAACTCATGAACAATACCGTTGACTTCGATTGCACTACAACCGGGTTCTTTCTTAATTCTCGCATCTCGCATACGCTGCCTTAACGCTGAAACTTCTTCCCATTTCCCTGTCTTGGCATAGATATTTGATAAGAGTACATAAGCTCCGTGGTTTCTGGGATCCAACTCAAGCATATGGCTACACGCCTTTTCAGCAAGCTCAACATTCCCATGAAGTCCACAGGCCCCAAGAAGAGCCCCCCATACAGACGTAGTAGGAGCTATTGGCATTTTCTCTATCAACTCTGTAGCTTCCTCCAGATTTCCAGAACGACCTAAAATATCAACCATGCAAGCATAGTGCTTTACACCAGGCACAACCCCGTAAACTGGCTCCATTTGATAGAAAAATGTTCTTCCTTCGTCCACCAATCCAGCATGGCTACAAGCGCATAGCACATTGGTGAATGTCACGGAATTGGGCTTCACCTTGGTTTCTAGCATTCTTGAGAAACAATCCAATGCCTCCCTCCCTTTCCCATGCATTGCCAAAGCAGCAATCATGGCGCTCCAGACGAAAACATCTCTCCTCTCCACTGAATTAAACACCTCAAGTGCCTTATCCAGATCCCCACACTTTGCATACATGTCAATAAGTGAGGTTGTAAGGTGACAATTCATCTTCATACCCTGCTTCTTTACGTAAACATGTATCCAGCCACCAAGATCAATTGCTCCCAATTGAGCACAGGCTGCCAGGGTACTAACTAGAGTGACTTCATCAGGCTTTGGGCTCTTCCTTTTCTGCAAGTCATGAAAAACCGCCAAAGCCTCCTTTGGCTTACCACTTTGTTCATAAGACGAAATGAGGACATTCCATGCAGCAATGTCTTGACTAGGCATCGCAGCGAAAACCCGCCAAGCCTCATCATAATTTCCTGACTGAGCATACCCATCAAGTATTGTAGTCCAAGAGACAATATCCTTCTCCAGCATCCTATCAAACAATCTTTTCGCTTCTTCAATGCTCCCGCATTTCACATACATATCAAGCATAGCATTGTTCAAAGTCAAGTTCTCTCCAATTTGACTCCTTTCGATACGCGAACAAACCCACCTCCCAAACTCCAAATCCACCTTCTTTGCGCAAGCTGACAACACACTCACCATCGTCACATCATTCGGCTTCACATTCTCTGCCTCCATCTCCTTAAACAACTCCAACGCCTCCTCAGGACAATTCCCCTGCGTAAAAGCCGTGATCATAGAATTCCAAGACACAACATCTTTCTTAGGAGTCTTCACGAAAACCCGCCGCGCCAAATCCAAATCCCCGCACGACCCATAGAAATGAACCAGAGAATTGAGAATATAAACATCTGAACCAAGCGAGGCCTTTATCACCATGCCATGAAACCCTCTTCCGAGCTCTAAAACCCGGAGCTCTGAAGCCGCCTTGATCACAAACGGGTAAGTAAATTTATTGGGACTCTCCATACAGCGATAAAGCATTTCCAGAAATACAAGGATGCTTTCAGTCGGATCAGTGCTCGACGCATAAGCGCGAATGAGGGTGTTCCAAGAGTAGAGATTTGGTTGGGGAATTTGGTCGAACACTTGGCGGGCATAGTCGAGGCTGGAGTAGGAGGAGAGGGCACAGACGGTGATAAGCTTGCTGGCGGAGTAGGGGTCGAAGAGAAGGCCTGTACGGAGCATTTGGGCATGGACTTGCTTCAGCTGCTTGATGCTGGTGCAGTGGTCGATTGAGGAAAGAGGTGGGTAGCTTAAGAAAAGTTCGTTAGTGGCGGTTGGCGATGGAGGATTTGGTGAGTGACGTGGTATAGAGATAAGGGGGGTGCTTAGAGTTGCCATCTCTTCTGTGGTCACTCTCGCATTAGCCGCATTCACTTGAGGTTTTTAATTCTGTTAAAAAAGGCGGTGCTGCATATGCTAAATCAAGGTTTTAAAAGACGTTACGTGCTACTCGGACGATGGGTTGAGGTCTATTGCCTAGTCGGACTAAGCGGATTTAACTAAATCTACTATACTTAGTATAAATAAGTGTCTATTTATACTTAAAATATATATAATTTCATCATAAACTACAAAATAAGATGATATATATATTATGAGCTATTGGAACATAATGAAAACATGGGGAACAAGCATATAATGTGTGTTCATTCAAGTATCTAATAAGTCTCTTTGAATTATGGGAAAAAATAAAATGTAAAATGAAAGTTAATTTATTTTCTATCTAAGTGTGTCATAACCTAGGAGGTGCCTAGGCGGGGTTGGGCAGGCTAAGTGGGTGTTTGGGTGGTCTAGACGGGCGCCTCAGTAGGTCTAGGCATCATTTCTTAATTTTCAAACGTCTAGGCATTAATCGGGACGGTAACCATCCGCCTAGCGCCTAGGCAGGGCCTGGGCGACGCTAGGCGGGGATTTTTAGAACAATGTACTAAATTCATACATCAAATAATGAGACATATTTCAAACTATATAATTGAAATTAAAGTACAAATTTGATTGGTGTCACGTTATTCAGTGCATAAATTTAGTGCAAAAAATTGGTGTACCTAGCATTATTCATAAAAAATACAATATCGCGTCAAGTGAGAAAACAATAACGATACCAATTAGGTATCAAGGATGATATTTTCTCACGCAAAGTAATTTTTTGATATTGTTAATGAGGTATGAAAAATTAGGGACTTCGAGAGTATAGGAACATTTACTAATTGTAGTGTTGTTGATCGTGCATTCATCGTTGTTTCTTAAATTTAAAGTTCTTGTTCTTTTATACGAATGACATTCTACTTTAAATCAAGCTAAATTGTGATGCTCAAGATTCGCCTCATGAAAACCTTAAATTCTCTAAGGAGGTTCTACCTCGTGGAAACGCTCTTTGGTGCAACGTTAACTTTAGCAGGTTGTGACTAAGAAACCATCACTTGGTCGGAGGGGAATGCATGACGTAGTGGGGGCGGACAAGATTGAGAGGGCTGTGGTTGGTGCGATGGAGAAGGTTAGTGAGGTGAGGAAGAAGGTGAAAGAGAAGGGAGAGATGGCTAGAAAAGCTGTGAAGGATGGAGGGTCTTCAATTGCTTCTGTTGGGAGGATTTTTAGTATGGGTAGATTAAAAGCTTTTGGTTATCACATATTAATCAATGACACAATGCATATCAAGGATTTTGACAAATTGACCTCATTTCTTGGAGACCAAGAACTTGCTATCAAATCAACCATAGCCTCACTACACCAAATCAAACCTACTCATCTCCCCAAAGAAGAAACGAAACGAAACGAAACGAAACCATCTATCTCAGTAATGATTTTCCCAAACTGTAACCAAACAAATAAGATTGGATTAGTTAGAGACTCGCGGGAAGGATCAAAGTTGGGGATTTATTGAATAACCTAGAATTCAGTTGAGTTGGAGGCCGAAGTTTGTAGGTTTAGCTTAGGTTAGGTCCTACCCCATTCCTATGAGAGGCGAACACAGCACCTGTTCTCCACAAATTTTTTCCTGCGGCCACAATCTCCCCCACACCTCTGCAACTAAAACTCAATGATAATCAAGTTTCAATCTTACTGTTAACGTTCTTAGCTAAGCACCGTGGTTGTATTTCAAGGTTGAGACTTCTTCGACGCTTCAAAACATACTCCAAAACCCCATTTCTGTGCAGGTAATGTCAATTATTTGCTAGTAATCACAAACTGTTGAAACTTAATCGTCTGCAGTTTGAACTAAACTGAATCATTTGGTGTCTATTTGATATCCAACACGGTTGATTTCAATAATCCAGACCTATCTTCCTCTCAATTCGCTAATCCCTACAACAAGCAAGCAAATTCGACCAGATCCGCTCAGCTAGCACCTTTTTGAACTTCACACAGCGACGCAAAACTTCTCAAAACTAGTTGTACATTTACAAACACGAGGACAACACGACTAATAAGGTCGGTTCAACTCCAAGACATCAAAATCCTCGACTAAAGAACAGATATTCGAAAACCATACCGACAATTTTGAGCAAAAACACTCAAAACATTATCCAGTTTCGTCGAAAATGCTACTCTATTCAACTCCAAGAATGCAAATTCTACGAACACCGGTAAGTGGACACAGCTAACAGAATCAAGACTCAATTTTCACAAATTACAACGTCAAAGTTTAAACCTTTTCACAAAAATCATACGAATTAGCATCTCAATCACACAAAATATCATCTATATTACGAAAAAAAGCAACAGAGAAACAAAATTCAGCCTAAAATTGTCCAAATTCGACAGCAAGAAAACAAGAAAAGCTCCGATTTTTATCAAACAAAACAACTATTACATCAAATTTAAGGGAAAAAAAACACAAATTACAGTTTACTGTACCATGAAAATCGAGAGGTTGTGATCACTGTCGGCTGCTATCGTAATCGACGACCTCGGAATCCGCGAGCGATCTGGAGTGCTGAACTATGGACCGTCCGATCGAGTTAATCCACTCCTCCTTCTCCTTCTCCGAATCGGCGATGAAGTACATCGTGTCGTGGTTGGTAGTCGACAGCTCGAAGGCGCAGGGCTTGTGGACCACGTCCTCGGCGCCCTTCACAGTCAGGCACGTGCCGACCGGGATCACACCGCGCGGCGTCGACGAGCGGGTCACGTGATTGTCTTTGAACCAGAACAGCTTCCCCTGTTTCAAGACGAACCAGCGGCGCCTCCACGTCTTGATGTACTCGCCCTGCTTGGTCAGCCACGTGGCGCGCTCAGGATTGGACCAGAAGTCGATTCCGGTGTAGTCTTCCGGGCTCGGGTCTTGGCCCGTCGCCGCCCGCCACAGACCCTCCATTTTCTTGGTTGAGCGGCGCGTGAGGTGTGTTTGTGTGGGCGGAGTCGGGGTTTTCGAGGGAGACAAGAGCGCGGTGGACGAGATGGGTTTTATGTTTCTGATTTCTTTTGGGATCCCGAAACAGAAATCGGTTTTATGTTCGTCTAATATCGCAAATCGAGACGGACAGCCTGTTGAGATCAAACGTTGTCCTGTCCTGTTGCGATCGCGATTCAGTTTTTGTTGGGTAAACAAATGAACAAGGCTTCCGTGCACACTAAACTGTACCTAGTAATTTTTTATTTTTTAATTAATAAGTTAAACGTCGTAGGTTTGAAATTAAAAAATAATGAGTTCGTAACTAATTTATTTTTATATCATTTTTCAAATTATAAATGATATTCTGCATTAAACCCAAAAGGAGAAGAGGAGGAAGAGTTTAAACCCAAAACGTAGTAAGTTGAAGAGTAAGATATAACCATTATGACAATTCACCGCTTGCATTTGTAATCTAAGTAATTAATTTTTGTAATGGAAGGTTTTGATACAAATTACTAATGAAACAAATTTTACTACGAGTCTGAGTAAATTAAAGCATTGATCCCTCACTATAACCCAATAGAAGGTTCGGGTATTAAAATTAAAAGTTCTTTAACCTTAGTATATGTGGTAACAACTATACACCTTATATTACGATCTAATGATATTTTTATTTACTTTTAAGTGAGAGGTCTCATGCGACTCATATGGATGATAAAGACGTATTATATTTGTGTTGAGTTCGTTACTTAATTAATGGTTGACCTATTGTGTGGATCAGTCCCCCTCTCCTTCAAATACAATATCATTGTACCGAAAGAAAATACATTGGTATTTGAGTTTGACAATATACAGAGTATTTGGTCATTGACACCAAGTCGATAAATTTTCGTCAAAACTTAATTACGTGAAACACAGATGTTTAAAAGAGAAATTTTTGTAGTCTTTGAAACGGGCTTATTGCATTTGGCGTGCGTTATTTTGATGGACATTCAACTAAAGTTGGTTAAAGCAATTGCTCCACATTATTGTCAAATTTAGATAAGAGTTTTTCTATCCAAACTCCACACCCTTTCTAAGTTCATCCCAAATTTTTTTTAAGCCTTAAGCTCCAAGTTTACCTTACTAATACAATACTCTCCACTAAAACTAATAAAAAAAAGATAGGATAAAAACCTAGAAAAAAACCTACCTTGCAACCCCACCCCGACCAACCACCGACCGCCACTTTCTCTCGGTCCCTCCCGCACCAACTTGACAATCAGCTTCTCTAGGTTTTTTCCTTGGGCATATATCAGGGCAAAAGCTACTGAGGAACAAGAACAATAAAGATCATATGCAGAAGGATAAGAAAAGCACTTGCAACTTAGCCTGCTGCAGAAGATGCAGTAAGGATTGATGATTAACATTCTGCATTAGCTAGGGTTTAGGAAGAGGAGCAGTTTTTTGGGTTGTCGATCAGTGGAGATGGGGGTTGTGCGGTCACTGCGGTGGGTTTCTCTAGGGTTTTTTATTTGTATTTTTTTATAGGGTTTTTGTGGGTTGTGTTGCAGTGTAAGGATAAAACTAGAATTAAGATGTCAAAAAATATTTTGCAGCGAACTTAGACAGGGCGTGGAGTTCAAATAGAAAAACTCTTTGGATATCAATTTCATTGGATTTTTATTTCGAACTCCAAAGCAACAATAAGATCATATTTCAAGACCAATACTCCAATTTTCTCTTTAAAATCATGATTTTTTAGTCCAGGTAGTTTAGTGAAGTTGCACTTTAATTTCTTGAATTTAATCAATTTTTTTCGCCAAATTAGTTCAGGAGTAAGATGTGTGAGGGTAAATTAGACTTCCTCAAAGTGTAAACACACTCAAACCAATGAACAAATGAATGGCGTAACTAAGCTAATTGTTCAGAGTTAAATCCCACATCAAGGGATGAAGGGAACTTGCATGTGCTTATAATCATCAACGAGAGAGAATTGTTTTGTATAACGTGGGCTAATACCTGTATTTTTTGTGTGGCAAGAAAATCTTGATGTAATTTATAAGGGTATAGATGGATTGAGAAAGGATTTTAACCTTATAAGAACGAGTGGTTCTTATGTGTTGTAAAGTTGTAATGCGCTTTTATTTTTACAGAAGTCATCACCTTTGAAGTCTACTCGGTGAAGACCAGATTCTTTCTGAGTCTTTGATCAGTTGCTGTACATTCTCCCGATCGATCTTGATCATGGCTTTGGCGGTGGTAGGTGGAGCCGTTCTCTCCGGTTTCTTCCAGCAAGTGTTTGTGAAGTTGGACTCTCAGGAGATCAAGGACTTCATCAGCGGAAAGAAACGGACCGGTGAGTTGCTGAACAAGTTGGAGACGACGTTGATCTATGTTCATGCTGTTTTCGATGACGCTGAGGAGAAGCAAATAAGCAACTTAGCTGTAAGGCAGTGGCTGACTAAGCTCGAAGAGATAGTCCTTGATGCAGAGGACCTGTTGGACGAGATCAAGACAGAAGCGTTAAGCCGGAAAATGGAAGCTGAGTTCGGAAGTAGCACTAGCAGGAACAAGGTACAAGGTCTTATCTCTGCTTCAGTTCGTGCCTTCGACGAGACAACTATAGACTCCAAGATAGAGAAAATTCTTGAGAGGCTAGGCTTCGTGGCAAAACAAAAAGATGCCTTTCATTTGAAAGCAGGTTGCAAGCACAGAATCTCACAAACGCTGCCTTCAACTTCCTTGGTTGAAGGCTCTGATGTGTACGGAAGAGATAAAGACAAGGAAACCATCATTAAGTTGTTGCTATCAAATGATGTTACTGGCAGTAAGATAGGAGTCGTTCCTGTTTTCGGCATGGGTGGGATCGGAAAGACCACCCTTGCTCAGCTCGTTTTCAACGACGATGCAGTGAAGGGGCATTTTAACCTGAGAGCATGGGTTTGTGTTTCTGAGGTATTTGATGTTGTTAAAATAACACAAACATTGTACGGGTCAGTTACTTCACAAAATTGTGATATGACAGACCTCAATATGCTCCAAGTTAAACTCAAGGAGGTTTTGACAAGGAAGAAGTTTCTTTTTGTTCTTGACGATGTTTGGAATGAGAATTACAATGATTGGGATGTTTTAAGGCGTCCATTTGAGTCTGGAGTTCGCGGAAGTAAGATCATTGTCACTACACGCAACAAAGGTGTTGCCTCTATGATGGGTACTCGTCCAACCCACCATCTAATGCAAATGCTTGAGGAAGATTGTTGGTTGGTGTTTGCAAAACATGCCTTTGAGAATGAAAGTGGTTTTGTAGATCCAAATCAAGAAGTAATTGGGAGACAAATTGTTAGCAAGTGTAAAGGCCTTCCTTTAGCTGCAAAATCGCTTGGGGGCCTCTTACGCTCTGAATCAAATTTGGAAGAATGGAAAAATATATTACAAAGTGACATATGGGAGTTGTCAGATACGAAGAGTGGCATTCTACCGGCTTTATGGCTAAGCTACCAATACTTGTCTCCACATCTCAAGCGTTGTTTTGGCTATTGTTCGATATTTCCCAAAGATTATAAATTTCGCAAGTCGGAACTAGTTTTGTTGTGGATGGCCGAAGATCTTTTACAGCCCAACAGGATGAAAATGATGGAAGAAGTTGGAGAGAAATACTTTGATGATCTAGTTTCAAGGTCATTCTTTCAATATTCCTCGTACAACTCTTTCATCATGCATGATCTAATAAGTGATTTAGCGAAATTTGTATCTGGAAAGTTTTGCATTAGGTTGGAGGATATTTGCTCACTGGACGATGTGACCAAGGCTCGCCATTTCTCTTATTTGGAATCATACGATGTCGATTTCCAGAGATTTGATACTTTATATGAAGCTAAGTACTTGCGCACCTTCCTTGTAGGGTATTCATTGCCCACAGTACGATGTGATCTACTTCTAAAACTGCAATGCTTAAGAGTGCTAAAATTACAAGGGCACCATATGAAGGAGTTGCCTGATTCGGTTAGCAACTTGAAACATCTACGATACTTGAATCTGTGTTGGACTTCAATCAAAAAATTACCTGATAAAATAGGTAGTTTGTGTAATTTACAAACACTATTGTTGTCAGAGTGTAAAGATCTTGCTGAATTACCAGCTACTTTGAGTAGACTTATCAACTTGCGTCACCTTGATATCACGGGAACGAAGATAAAAAGTATGCCCCTCCACATGGGTAAACTGAAAGATCTTCAAACATTAGGAGGTGAATTTGCTTTAGACAAACGTACTGGGAGGAATATCGTAGAGTTAAAGGGGTTTCAGCAATTGCGTGGAACGCTTCATATTTCAGGGCTTCACAATATTGTCCATGCCAAGGATGCTTTGGAGGCCAAAATGGACGATAAGAAGCATCTCAGTGAAGTATTTTTGAAATGGGATGGTTGCGGTGACGATTCTCAAAAAGATAATGCAGTGCTGCGCAACCTGCAACCCCATACAAACCTAGAAGTACTGACAATAGAAAGATATGGAGGTACAACATTTCCAAGTTGGTTAGGCGATGACTCTTTCAGTAATCTTGTTAGTCTCCGGCTTGAGGATTGTCGATATTGCTTTTCAATGCCGCCATTGGGGCAGCTACCCTTCCTTAGAAGGCTTGAAATTGAGGGGTTAAATGGAGTGGAATTGATTGGTTCTGAGTTTTATGGAGAAACTAAGCCTGCATTTAGATCTCTGGAATATTTGAGATTCCAATGGATGCAGGAGTGGCAAGAGTGGTCTTTTGCTGGACGTATAGGAGGCGAAGGAGGAGATTTTCCTAATCTTCGTGAGCTGAGTGTGAAGTTCTGTCCCAAACTTACCGGGAAGTTACAGTTGGACTGCTTCCCAAGACTTGAACTGCTGACATTGTGGAGTGTTAATATTGAGTCCCTTGCTTCTTGCAAGAATGTGATGAATGCCATATTGAGCTCCCATGTCTCCGTGAATTGCAAACAATGAATTGCCGAAATCTAATAGGTTTTGTGGGTGGTGGAGTGCTGCTTGCGCCCAAGTTGACGGTGCTATCTATGTTCGGGTGTAAGAACTTGTGGTCACTGCCAGAAGAGATGCACATCTCCCTGCCATCTGTTCGGTTTATATACATAGAAAATTGTGAGGAGTTTGAAGGGTTTCCCCGAGAATCTGAACTGCTATCGCTTCGCCAGCTGAGAATATCTGAATGCCCATATTTTCTGGGTTTTCGCAGTGGAGGAAGGCTGATGATGCCCAAATTGACAAGTTTGAAATTCTGTAGATGTGAGAAACTGAGGACACTGCCAGAAGAGATGCTCATCTCCTCTCCTATGTCTTCAGTCTCTGTCTATGCAAGAATGTAAAGAATTTAAATCATTTCCGGAAGAATGTAACCTCCCATCCCTTGAAAATTTGAAGATATTGGACTGCCCAAATTTTGTGGGTTTTCCCCATGGAGGGTTGCATGTGCCCAACTTGACGAAGATAGATATGCGTGAATGTGAGAAGTTGAGCTCACTCCCAGCAGATATGCACTCCCTTGTCCCGTCTCTTGAGTTTCTGTCCATATCTTATTGTCCAGAGTTGGAATCATTTCCGGAAGGGGGACTGCCGGCTAAGTTGGAGTTGCTCAAAATCGGAGGTTGTAAAAAACTCATCGCAAACCGTATGCAATGGGGTCTACAAAGACTCACCTCTCTCAGACGCTTAGGGGTCGGCTTCTTTGAATGTGAAGACGTAGTAGAATCATTTCCGGAGGAGGGGCTGCTGCCCGCCACTCTCACTTCTCTCTGAGTCTCTGGAATTCTCAACCTGAAGGTGATCGATGGCAATGAGTTAAGACACCTGATCTCTCTCGAGAAGCTTAGGATTTTCTTTTGCCCTCAACTCCAGAGGTTGCCGGATGAAGGGCTACCCACTTCTCTTTCTCTTCTAGAAATCTGGGACTGTAATTTGCTAACACCACGGTGCCAGAGAGAGACGGGAGAAGACTGGCCCAAGATTGCTCACATTCCCAACATAATGATCGACCAGAAAAAGATATGATCGGAAAAGGTGCACAATTCTTCGAAGTTTACCTTATGCTGTGTGAATTTTTAGTTGCTATTTTAGTCCATCAGTTCATATTGTTAAAATCTTTTCTTGAGTGACAAGTAAACCATTATTTTCTAGTCTCCCTCCTCCTGTCTAACAGTTAGTTGCATCTTATATGACAGGTTAAACTCTGATATATATCAAAGATTGTCCGGAATCATTTCTAGAAGGGGAATTGCTGTCAAAATTAGAAAGCCTTCCATCCGCTCTTGCAGCATGCCGCAAACTTGTCATAATGTGAAGAAGAAACTGTAGAATCATTTCCGAAGGAGGGGCTGCCCACCACGCACACTACTCTCAAATTCCTTTGCTAAGAATCGACAGTGTCTTCTCCAACAAAGCGATGCCAAAGAGAGACGGGAAGATTGGCCCAAGATAGCCTCATTCTTGCAATGGTAATTCTTCCATCTCTACTTCTTTGTCACTGATCTCTCTTTTCTTAGTAGGCCAATCGGAATTCAACCTTTTCTAAGTAGACTATTTTTCACAGGTTTCTCGTGTTTTCTTAATCGTGTCCAACCTGAAGGATCTCCAACTTCACGGCAGTTAAAAATTGGGAAACTGAAATTGCTATGCCATGTTGAGTGGACATCAGTCTCAAAAGCCTGTTGAGGCATGCTCTCCGGTTTGAAGTAAAATTCATTGCACCCTACCACCGGACAAGTATTGGACGGGGTCTTCTACCGCTTTCCTTTTGCACCCTAGCACTGTCATCCAATTTTTTCGAACACAGATCCTCTCCGGATCCCAAAAAACTGAGCTTAAGGATCAAATGATCCGGGCTGTTGAAATTTAATCAAATGGCTACAATTATTATCACTTTTAGAGAGATCCCCTATTTGTAACCGTTGGATTAAATTTCAACAGCCCGGATCATTTGATCCTTAGGCTCAGTTTTTTTAGATCCGGAGAGGATCTGGGTTCAATTTTTTCATTCCGTGTCTGCTTGCGTTCTCTTTTAATTTGGATCAAAAGTACAAGAGGGTTGTTCGGATAAGGGTGAATAAAAAGAGTAATTTAAAGATGAATTTTAACATATGCAAATGTATTTATGTAAGTAGCTCTTCTGTACTTTGTTAAAGTTTCTGTGGTGGTGGAATGTGCCTGGTTTCTTACAGTTGCTTGTATCTTTCGAGATAGACAGTATCTTTGGTCAACCAGGCAGTTGATCAAATGGGACTAGACAGACAGATTTCACCCATCCTTACGGCAAGTCACCATATCCTACTAGGACCGGCTTAGACAGACAGATTTCACCCGTCCTCAAGAAGCTTATAAACGATGACAATCTTAGATAAAATGTACGAGAACAAGATAAGTGGATGGTTGAGAAAGAAGAGTTTTACCTGTCACATACCAAAATTTCTTCTTTTTGAGCAACAAACAACGCATTTGGTCAAATGATTACCATTTCATCATGCCTCAAGGATGCATAGAGCTCCAAAAGTTTCCGGATTGCTTCATGTGTGCAGGTGTGGAGTCATGGGATAAAATGTACGAGAAAATTATGAGCAAACAGAAGTAAACTCTTCAGCATAAATTTTGGATTCCAGAAAGTCTCCTTAGTACCAAAGAAGCGTAAGTTTGAAAATAAACCTCTAATTCTCAAAACAAACGAAAACACAGAAAATCTACATATTAGTACCCCTAGTTGGCCGGCATACATGATTCCTTTTACGAGCATGCTCTTCGTTATGGTGTTGTGTCCGACATGCATACCCATACCAGCAATTTTCCCTGTTTGAAGCTTCTGGGGGTAGATGATATTTGGGAATCGAAATCCGAAACCAGTACAAGAGGAACGAGATCAGCTTCTCATAACAGTAATTGCACGTTGGTGTTGCAGAAGTTATTGTCTCACCATGATTCAGGGGCATCCTTGTTCGATCAATTTCTCTGTTGTCCAACTTTGCAAGCCATTCTGCAATAACATCCTGCAATGTTCTCCCCAAATGTGCAATGCACTTCTCAGTGATAACTTGTTCATGTCGATTGTTTTCATGTGCTGAAGTAGGGATTCTAGAGATGGTGTGTTCTGAGATTGGTTTAAAAGTCTCGCGACTGCACATGCGGTGAGAATCACTTTGTGCAATCCCTTGCGCGTGCCAATATGCACCACAAAATGCCTTATCACATCCTAAACAGTGTTGAGGTACATTGTAGCTGGTTTGCAAAGGCATCATTCCTCCACACGCTTGACATTGCAGATGGATAGTGGTTTGATTGCAGCGAAACCCACCATATTCAGTACCACATTGAGGGCAGGGATTTGACGCATTATCAGCTTCTTGATCCACCTGGGAGCGAGCCCTTTTTCCACGTAGATGTTTTCCAGAGTTTACGACAAGATTTGATCGTATTGTTGCATAAGAGTCTAAAATTGCCACTTCATCATTGGAGCGTTTTAGTGAAGAATCCACTTTTAGTATTTCCTCCGCAACATTAAGCAGGAAGTGATTCCTTCCAACAAACTGCACAACTGCTCGACATTGGGGACAGAGTACACTTGAACGTTTCTCCTGTGATCTTTTTAACCACTCCGAGAAGCAACCATTGCAGAAATTATGGAAGCAAGGAGCAACAGTAACAACATCATGCCATATATTCAAACAAATGCAGCATTTTGCATGCTCAGCATCCATAGAAATCTTTAACTGCTTCTGACAAGTTTCAGGACCGGGCAATACGTTGAACCTGTAGCTTAAATACCCTTCCTTATCAGGACCTGAAATAATTTCACTTCCACATCTGATAACAGTAGTTTCTTCAGCTTGGATTACACTCCCGTCAACAACTATTGCATTTGAACTTTTATTTTGTATTGTGGCAGAAGAGTGATCTGAATTCCTTGTTATCTTGCACCACTTGCATTTGCAAATAGAAGAGAACAAGGTCTCTGAACAAACTACAATCTCATCCGAACTAATCTCCACATCCAGGTATCTTGAGTCTGATGGAACAAGCTTGGCCCAGATTTCTTCACAGGGTTTTGCACCTGAGATTTCTCCAACTTCCGCCATCCCTTGAATATTCACAAAGGAACCTTTAATTAAAATCTCACGGATAAGCAACCGACCATTGTTTTTTTTCATCAAACAAGAAACAAATAAGTACATATTCTTTACCGCTCATCAGAAAGTTCATCCAAGTACGAAAACAAGACAGATTCGCACTCAAACTAATTCAAATTGTAATATTCACGAAACATGCTTCCATACCAAATGGCCCGAACATTTCAACACCAATAAACAGATCAACTTCATGTTTAAGACATCCTACAACCACATAAATTGAATCATAAAAATTCCAACTTTGGCCGATAAACAATAAAAAAATGAAAAGAATTTGCAACTTTCACCCAAGTTCAGTTTTCACAGGATTCTTTCATATAGGATTATACATCAGTTTAGGAAGAACTGGCAGTTTTCACTTGCCAAAATTTAACGACAAATGAGAAAAAGTTTGCAACTTTAGCCAAAGTCTAACTTGAATGCCCTCTCACATATAAAATTATAGAATTATCCACTAATCTATCAAGAATTGACAGCTTTTACTTACGAAATTTGAACAAATAGCCAAAAATGTAACCCCTAATGATGAAAAATGAAAAACAAAGTTTGCAACTTTAGCCAAAGTTTGATCCTTTAACCCCCACAAGTAGCATTTGAGCCAATCCAAGCACTAATTAAGCCCATAAATTCCAGAGAATGTTGCTAGCGAACAAGATTTGATACAATTTCTAGAATTTTACACAAACATTTCCAGGAATATTAAAGGAAATGATAAATACCAAGAAATAAGAAACAAAATGATCAGAAAATAAAAAATACCAGTTGGGAGAAAAAGGAAGGATGGAAGATGAGATGGGTAAATGTGGGATCGAGTAAAAGTGCCAATGTCAGAGGACGAACAAGTGATTTCAGAAGAAGAAGAATCGCAAGGGCAGGAATCATGGGCTTGTTAAAACTGGGCCTGCGTTTTGAGCTTTTCTCCCTGCGCATAAGATATGGGTCGTGCGCACGGGCTGCGTATCATTCGGACTCGATATACGGAATTACGTATATTTGTATTACTTTTTTAATAGAGGTAAGACCAGCATATGTGATCTCATCTTTATTAGAGAGATATACAAATAAATTGTAAAAATATCATTTTGAATTAACTCAGACTTAAGATACAGAGCGAATAAAGCAATGTGAACGACATTGCAACTGAATATCAACTTCATATTAACAACGTAACTGTAGCCCATAAACACGATTCATATGCGCATGAGAGAAGCTAAACAAGTTTCTATTTGCAACCAAGTTTAAAATATTCTTTTTCTCATAAGCATGCTCCTGTTTATTTAGAGTTTTTTTATTCTGCTTTAGTTCATTCAATTCAAAATCTATAAATAAACAAGATATGCAATTGGAGAAAAATAAATGAGTTGAATTTACTTCACCAAGTCTTTCCCTATCACACATTGATCATCTTTACTTATCAACGTTAAGAAAATTATCGACTAATGTTGTGGTGTAGTGGTTACGATTATTCACCTATAAATAAGAAGTCTTAAACTCAACTAAGTTTATCATGTATTAAAAAAATGTTAAACTCGGGTAGGCAAATGCGTAGGTGAACTACCGTTTTGATTAAAACGGGAAAAGTGGGGGTGGGTGTGGTTGGTGGGATTCTTTGGGTTGAAAAAACCATAGCTGACATCATTTTTAATGATTTACTAATTTTGTTCAAATGTAATTGATTTAGTTACACATGTAGATCATTTTATGCCGTCAAATGCAGCGAGAGTAATTTGCACGGCACATGTATTATCATTGCGATGTTATGCGTTAGTGATATCGACATCTAACGGATTAAATTTACACATATATTTATATTATTGACAAATAACATCGCTTTCAAAGTTGTTCTCTTCGAATGAAGCCAGAGTTTCTCTGGTTTTTTGTTTCCGTGGAGGAGCCTGCGGTGTACGAAGATAAGCATGAATGTGAACGTAACGCAACGAAAGTACAGAAGAAAGAAGAAGATTAGATTGCAGACAACAACCAAATCGAAATGATCATGATAAGGCCTCCCCTGCTTGCCACGTCATCGAATTATTTGTTTGGTGAGACGTGATTGTCCTTTAGTCAACTCTTCATCTTCATCTACCTCGCAAAACTGCATCCCATCAAAATATTGGCTTTCTCCGGTCCCTGCATTTTCCAGGTAAGCACATATTATCTCTTTTAGCTCCTTTCATCTTCCACCTTTGGATTGTGCTCGGGCGTATGGCATGTACCGGATAAATGAAGCGTTGAACGTGTAGCTAATTATTCAAGGTGTAAGGATCAGAGATATCGGTGTATAGTTTTACAAGGTGCATACTAGAAAATCCCTAAAATTGTATGTGTAGCAAGTTCATGTATTCATGTAATGCTAAGCCTGTACTTTTGTTAGTTTCAATAGAAAATATTTGGAAGTTACCAAAAACCAACAGCAAAATATGTGGAAGAAAGAGGGTTCCAATTGTTTTGAGCCAGTAAACTGCATATGAACAACTGTAATGTCAGCGTGTTTATAAAAGTGCAGTTAACCGCGCTGGAGAAAATTCTAGCCGATATATACTTGGAAGTTAAAATCTTGGTTAGCTTATTGTAGAATAGGACATTGCATGATTCCTTTCTGTTAGGGTGGTGCTATACACATTCCCTTTTTACCTTCCACACAGTCTCTCAATTTTGCAGCTGTCGGATCGACTGAATTGGGAGGATCAAAGGACATAAATCAGCAGAGGGTGTATGAGAGGCAAAAAGAGATGTGTGGATAGCACCACTCTTTTGTTATTGGAGACTGGATTACTCTCAACTCTAACATCCAATATCAGGCCCTTTTACGGATGTTTACTTACCGGTTTTTGATATTTCACAAACTGGTGAATCTGAGTTATTTATCAAACACTTTGGTAAGTTGTTCATCTTCGCTTGATTTGTTTGCAACCAGTGAATCTCTCTTGAAGTGATCGCGTGTGCCCTCCGATCGAGAACCTTCGCTATTAGTATTAGTTACTGCATCAATCTATGAATGGTTGTTTTTCATTTATGAAATTAAGGCGTGTATTCTGTATGGGTCTATGTGGTTGTGCAGGTTGTACAATTGTGCTCGTAAGCGCTGAAATTCATTGAAATCTTTATTCTGCATCCAGAAATAGAGTTGATCGGAGCAATGGTCCCTGAATTAAAAATCCGTTAGCTTTGATAACATGTCAGTCGCATATTTCAGGGGAGAGGTTGTACTGGTTTACATGCATAAGTAGTTGGAAAATCAAACATTGCAGATATGGCTACTACGAAGATATACATCGTGTAAGTATCTCCATCCCTCTTAATTTCTTACGGCTGCGCATTCTCTTGAGAATATTTGAACCATTCACCTTTGTATTCGCAAGAATTCTACTCCTGAACTGATTTGGGATGTTCAAACATGAAACTACTTCTTGCAGGTACTACTCCTTGCATGGACATGTAGAGATTATGGCACGTGAAATACATCGTGGAGTTAATTCGGTTGAAGGTGTTGAAGCAACACTTTGGCAGGTAACATCTTGGATTTGATCAAATCAACAACAGATCTTGATGCTTGTAAGATCATTTAATATTCTTAAGAGAGTTTGATTGACTTGATTGGAATGGAGCAGGTGCCCGAGACGCTTTCCAGTGTCATACTGCAAAAGGTGAAGGCCCCTCCTAAGGCAGATGATGTGCCGGAAATAAGGCCAGAGCAGCTTGTGGAAGCTGATGGCTTCCTCTTTGGCTCACCTTCTCGTTTTGGTGTGATGGCATCACAGTTCAAGGCCTTCTTTGATGCCACCGACGAGATATGGAAAAAGCAAGCACTTGCTGGCAAACCTGCTGGAATCTTCTGGAGTACCGGATTTCATGGCGGAGGGCAGGAGCTTACCGCGTGAGTTTTTTGACCTTTCGTCCATTGAGATTAACATTTCACTTCCATTGATTACATCCGATTGTCTGCAGATTAACAACCGTAACACAGTTGGCACATCATGGCATGATTTTTGTGCCTCTTGGGTACACCTTCGGGAGCGGCATGTTTGAGATGGATGCCGTAAAGGGTGGATCAGCTTATGGCTCTGGAACTTTTGCGGCAGACGGATCACGTCAACCAACAGAGCTAGAACTCCAGCAGGCATTTTACCAGGGTAAATATGTGGCTCAAATTGCAAAGAAACTCAAAAATTAAGAGAGAGAGGGGAGGGGGGAGTTTCGAACCAGGGACTCATGGGCAGAGACCCAACGCCCTATCCACTAAAATATTGGACCACATGCCAATTACGCTTAATTTCAAGATGTTGTATATTTATGCCCTTGCAATGTAAAAAACCAATAACCATAAGTTGATGAATGAGGAGGTCAATCTTCTTGCTACTTCCTTGAGAGTTGATATTGCAAGTTGTGGCAAGGGCTTGTACCCTGCACATGGATTACTGACTGTAACATGTGATCTTTTACTTTTATCAAATTCACATCATCCTTGCAAAACAAATTCTTGTAATCGCTTTGATCATTTGAATCCGAATTAAAACCCTAAAAATTGTTTGAGATTCAAATATGTATCATACAAACACAAAAAAGACGGCAAACGGATTGTAAACAGACGGATTGTTTTCCCCAACTAAAAAGATCTGGATTTGGAGTTGCACCCGGATAAGGGACTAAATGGCCCAAATGCCCTTGCCGAATTCCAAGCTCTCCAGTCAACCTTTGAGATCCTCAAGGATGAAAAGGACAGGAAAAAGTTTGATGATTTGGTAAGGGTAAAGAGAGACCAGCAACGCCTCCTTCCACAGCGCAATGCCAGCTACCATCTGCAGGACAATGCCAGCCACCATTCGCAGCACAATGCCGATGATTTTGAAGCAAGACAACGAGCTGCAATGCACGCAAAGAAAAAGGCGACGGTGGCGGCTACTGCTTTTTCTGTTCCTAAATTGGATCAGGAGAAGGCGCTTATAGTTTCTTTGAACGAGGATGGTGAAGAGTATACGGAGAGAGGTTGTGAGATTTCTTCTCCAGGATTGGCAAGGTCGAAGAAGTCCTCTTCAAAAACAGAGGCTGGGCGGGAATTGTCATACCAACTAAGAATGCAGCAGTCTGTCTGGTGATCGTTCTAATCAGTTCCGGGTTTCAGCATATGACGCTGTTCGCGAAAAGTTTTAAGGGCAATAGCAGGAATGATAGATGAAGCATGGAGTGATTAATTAGGGTTTTAACATTTGCTTGTGTTTGCCATTACTTTTACATTTTAGTTTGTTTCAATAATTAGGGTTTTAACATTTGCTTGTGTTTGCCATTACTTTTACATTTTAGTTTGTTTCAATGTTTTAAGTATCAAACTCACGTTATTCGCACAAAAAAATGACCCACCTCAACTCTCGAGTAAAATATTGAAATTACAAAAAAAACTTGAAAGGGTCACAAACCAGAAAACGTATTCATTTATCAACGAACGAGGACTCTGCAAGATCAATTGCGCGCGCAAGAGCAGCTGCTTTGTTCTCGCACTCCCTCTGCTCGTCAGCTGGATCGCTGTCAGCGACAATACCAGCCCCAGCTTGGAGATGAGCAACCCACTCTCTGCGCTTGTTTGCGTCCTTGTATGAATACATTGTATCATACCGAAAACTAGTTGGGAAAACAATAGTTCTAAGAGCCAGAGCGATGTCCATGTTGCCAGAAAATGAAATTCCTCCAAAACCACCACTGTATGGACCACGTCTAGTCACTTCCAGCTTATCGATCAGCTCCATGGCTTTCACCTGTGTTGCAGTAGAGCTAAGAATGAGAAAACTCGAGAATTAATCCTAAGCGAGTCCACAACAGATAGATTACGAAATCATGACATCAGGTTCCATATATCTACCACTACCAATACTGGTGTATAAGCACATTGACCCAATTCCTTACTGATTAGGTTAATGCTCAAGGTTTGTAATTGCACGATTAAACAGGTTCATTAAGTCTAGGATCAATGTAGCCTAACTAATAAGAAATAAAACAAGAATGCCAACAAAAAATGAAAACCGGCTCATGAAGAAAACCTTTGGTGCTCCACTGACAGTCCCAACCGGCAATGCAGTACGCAGAACATCCCAGCTAGTTAAATCATCACGTAACTCTCCCGTGACCTACAATGACATTAAACTTTCATCCCTTAATTCAATTGGTTGTTGAGTACATGACACTGATAAAAACGGATATATAGACCCTATGAGAAAAAAATTCTGAAAATCATGTCTACAAATGCGTGAATGCGTCATCAATCGTTATAGATATTAGGTCACTTATTATGTGTATTACAAAAGGAGATACTTACTGTTGAACTTATGTGCATGACATGGGAATACCGCTCAATGTTCATGAGCTTCTCGACCTTCACAGAACCCGGTTTTGAGACCTTCATGAAAAAATTATCAATCGCGTTATTATGGCCACAAGATACATAATGAAGAAAACAGATTATACGACAAAAATGTTATAAAATATAAGAAATAGTAGTCACTTAAGCCATGAACAGACAAGACAGCAAGTGTAAACTTATTAAGCTAAAGCTGAAATAAAGATTAATGAAATAATTTTACCCGCCATGGATTGAGAATAGATACAGGGGAGAATAAAATTTAACATATGTATGGTTTTACACTCTGGAGAATAAAATTCAACATACAGTAGAATGTCAATAATCATACAAAAAGGAGAAAGGAAAGAGTATAAACCTTCCCGACATCATTCCTCCCCAAATCTACGAGCATAATATGCTCTGCACATTGCTTTTCATCATTCAAAAGCTGCTTTTCCAGCATTAAATCTTCTTTAGGTGTTTTTCCTCTTCTAACAGTCCCAGCAAGAGGCCGGTTGGTGATCGTTTGCTATTAACAAAAATTAGAAACACACAGCCCAGCAATTTATAGCCAATGAAGATTACAACACTCTAGTAGGAAAACAAAAGGGGCCAAAGAAACATAAAATGTAGGACATCTTGTAGGAACCAACAAAGGTTACAGTTACACCATCATAGAGGTTTGGGAGCTAGCAACAGAATAGCACACTCAGATACGGTTTTTGGACTTCCTTTACTTACCTTCTTGACACGTGTCAGAATTTCTGGACTTGACGCAACCAAAATACAGCCTCTAGCCTGATCATGGAAGTATATACTCATATAATCTCAGAATTAAGGTGAACAAGTAGATTGGAACCAATGATTTGCTGCAAAAGGCAAACCTGTAAATAAGTCATGTATGGACTTGGATTAACTATCCTCAATGCTCGGTAAATTTCAAAAGGGTCTGCAAATGTTCGCCTCTCAAAACGCTGGCTTAATACAATCTGAAATATATCCCCAGCTAGAATGTGTTCTTTAGCTTTCAAAACTGCCTCCTTATATTCCTCACTTGTCAAGCTTGAGTCCTCCAATTTAGTACCAAAATGTTGAGTGTTGAACTCTATTGAACCTGCAGGCAGCCTCGGGCTGAAATTGACAGTTGGTACATTCTTAAATCAACCTTAAGTTTAAAAAAGTAATAGTAATGAATAAGTATAGAGGACTAATTTCCCCAGCTCTGAGGCAGCCTCGAGTTGAAATTGACTGTTGACATAAGCATACATTCGTGATCAAAAATGGTATTAAAGAGGGTGGGATGAATAGAAAATAGGAGAGGAATAGAAACTCAACAAAAGAAAAATAGAAAAGAAATGTGAAAGAAAGGAGTTGATTACTCACGTGACAATGTCATGCACTCTAGATACCAGTGTTTCCAATCTATTTATTCCATCATTGAAGGCCTCCTCAACAGAAGAATATTGATCTAATTGCACCCAGTGAATTACATGAGCTTTCTATAGCAGACAAATTGAAAAATAGAAATGGTTATAGTTGCAAAAGGTAGCACCGTATTTCTTAAAATAAAAAATTACAACCAAAGCATGAAGTTGACTAATTCTCCTGGTTCAATAATGGAGCTGGATGCAGATAACAAGACTTTGAAGAAAAAGAATATGCTTAGCGAGTAACTTGGAAGAAAGAAACTTTTTTAACAAAAAGAAGTAGATGTCTTTTCTATTCTGACATGCATTTGAATCTAAGTATTTTAAACTACTTTAAAAATCATAGTACCTTCTCCACATGATCGAACACAATCACATCGTCATAAAGACCAAGATGAACATCAGGAAGATTTCTGTCATCCGGCGGTGCACTCGGAAACGGCAGCTTTTTCTTCTCAACATAACGTACTGTATCATAAGAGAAGAAACCAACCCAGCCGCCTGATAAAGAGAGTGGATGTTATTAACCACCACTAGTAACTTCGAGAACCTCCATTATTTAAGACCGAACTATACAATAATACGAGGATAAATTTATGGCAAGTTTGTGACAAATAAGTCTTTTGCGAGAGTCCAGGATATCACACAATACATAACACTAGTGTCAACATAGTACATCTAAGCCTAACAAAATGTACAGGAAAATATGAGCAGAACTCTTAACCCGCAATTCTACTTGCCTAGTCCAAAACTTCAAGATTAAGAGGGAAAATTAAGCAAAGCACAGTTTTCATTTTTCTAAACAACTTCACTTCAACTATACAAGTCTAAGGAGAAGTGGTTTACTTTGAATTGAGAGGATTAAGATATGAGTACTGCAAGGAAATTTAAAATATGTTATTTGTGCACTTATCGTACCACAAAATGCTTCTGGAAGTTCATCAAGAAGTTGGGGTGTCCATCCCTCCATGATTCTCCGAGGAACAGTCATTGGATCCTCCACAATCTCCTCTGTCCTACAACCTTCTCTATGGTCCATAATGGTAACCATGTTCTCTTTTGCTACGATTTCGATGGATGGTTGGGCCCCAATAACGCTGTACCGCCCCTAACAAAAGATTAACATAATAAGTGATTCACTTTTGCCTAAGTTAGATGCAAACAAATACACATTATACACGGGGCTGAGGGCGCTTACAACATTGGAGTCTTTGGAACCGGGCTCAACTGACTCAAACAGAAAACTTGGAGCATCTCTATCATCCTCCTTAACCAGACACCGGTAAGCAAGCACTGGAGTTAGATGATCCGAGAATATGCTCCGATATAGAGGAATTAAATTCCCCTTCTTCGAGGCTTCTACAAACTTCTCTGATTGGTCGGCTGCGGTAAAATCAATCATACGAATTAAAACTCACATTAGTATAACACATTGAGTCCATTACAAACAGACATTGCTTGACTCACTGCATATCACAAGTCTTTGAAATTTTGGACAGATTATAATAACAACCACCAAAATTATTATTCAGCTAATCGAACCGAAATTAAAATTTACAATGTAAATCAAAATTCTATTGAGTACAAACCCAAAAATTCAA